AAAGAAAAGAAAGATGAGAGATTCTAGTCTTTTCCAGGCCTACCATTTTATAATTTCAGGATTAAAATAAATCTGAGACAATAAATTTGATTCCATTAATATACGTATAAGCCCCCAAAGAAATTAAAACATAGGAAAATACAAATGTGTAAAAGCAAGGAATTAAAAACTGTATTCCAAAGAAAGACTTATTCGCTGCTACCCGGCATACCTCTGTTGGAGACACGTGGTCGCCCAGGGAAAACACTGGAGCTTGGCATTTCCTAACAAGTGAGTGGCACGTCCTCTCTTTCCTCTCTGAGATGTGTCTGTTCACAATCCATCGGTCAACCCATCTCCATACATGTGTGTGTGCACATGTGCACACACACACAGGAACGAGACAGGAAAGTGAGAGCAGCACCAGGCTTGGGTCTGACCAAAGAGGGACAAAGGAGACTTACTGGAGCTTCCGAGTTTTTGACCGTCACACTGGGGGTGGTAGCTCGTAGGGCTCCACTCACGCCATGGTAGTATTTGAAGCAGATCTTAGTTTCAGCTGAAAGACAAAAATAAAATGGGACTGAGAATTAGGGTATAACCTAGGAAGAGACAGCATGACCAGAAAGGACATCTCCAGGAACTGCCCCCTAATCCTCCAGGGCCAAAGAGCCCCTCCCGGCCCCCCATGGCAAGGATGCTCCACGGATAGCCTCATGGACAGGTCTGACTTCTCTCCAAAAAGATGCCATGAAAAATTGTATTGGCCTTAATATTTCTGTGCCCAAGTTAAATGCATTACTTAGAAAGACGAGGCAATATCCATCCTGTCCCATTAGATGTTATTGCTTTTAAACCCTTACTTCTAAGATTTGAGGTGGTTGGATGCCTACCACCAGTCTGTTTCNTTATAATTATTTCACTTCAAATGCTTTATATTTTTTTAACATAGAAAAGTATAAGCCTTTTTTACTGCCTCTAACATGGCAAAGTCCTCACTGGTTTTTGTTCAGCCTCCCCTGGTGGGTCGTTTGGTAATTTATGTAAAAAAGAGGAAAAGGAATGCCATTTCTAAGTGCATTTCAGCCAGCCTAATCGGATGCACAGAGAACTAAGGTAAGAAGCTGCACAAAGATAAGAACTGGAATGTAATTCAGGAAAAGATGGCATCTGTTACTGTGGAATTGAGCAAAGCCACAAAGTAGGAAGTGAAAGACAAGGTTTAAATCACAGCTCTGCAGATAGCTAACTGGGTGACCTGAGGTGCATCTTGCAGTCTCTTTCGGAATGGTGTACTCGTTTATATAAAGAAAAGAAAGATGAGAGATTCTAGTCTTTTCCAGGCCTACCATTTTATAATTTCAGGACTAAAATAAATCTGAGACAATAAATTTGATTCCATTAATATACGTATAAGCCCCCAAAGAAATTAAAACATAGGAAAATACAAATGTGTAAAACCCGGCGTACCTCTGTTGGAGACACGTGGCCACCCAGGGAAAACACTGAAGCTTGGCATTTCCTAACAAGTGAGTGGCACGTCCTCTCTTTCCTCTCTGAGATGTGTCTGTTCACAATCCATCGGTTAACCCATCTCCATACATGTGTGTGTGCATGTGCACACACACACAGGAACGAGACAGGAAAGTGAGAGCAGCACCAGGCTTGGGTCTGACCAAAGAGGGACAAAGGAGACTTACTGGAGCTTCCGAGTTTTTGACCGTCACACTGGGGGTGGTAGCTCGCAGGGCTCCACTCACGCCATGGTAGTATTTGAAGCAGATCTTAGTTTCGGCTGAAAGACAAAAATAAAATGGGACTGAGAATTAGGGTATAACCTAGGAAGAGACAGCATGACCAGAAAGGACATCTCCAGGAACTGCCCCCTAATCCTCCAGGGCCGAAGAGCCCCTCCCGGCCCCCCATGGCATGGATGCTCCACGGATAGCCTCATGGACAGGTCTGACTTCTCTCCAAAAAGATGCCATGAAAAATTGTATTGGCCTTAATATTTCTGTGTCCAAGTTAAATGCATTACTTAGAAAGACGAGGCAATATCCATCCTGTCCCATTAGATGTTAGTGCTTTTAAACCCTTACTTCTAAGATTTGAGGTGGTTGGATGCCTACCACCAGTCTGTTTCTTCTGTAATTTCCTATTATTCCATTCATCGTAATTAATATCTTGGTAATTTGAAGGAAGACTTTGAGAAGTTATTGAAATACCTGGATGGGAAGCTTATTGCTAAACGTGTGCTGTGAAACAAGTGAATAGGTTTATAACTTGTTAATATTCCCATACTTTTGGAAATTTGACTTTTTCCTAAAAGTGAATGACTTTTTGCGAATTATTTTTTACACATCAACAATAACCTTTTTGCAACAAAATTTGTATTTCTTCAAAGTTCTATAGATGGTAAGCAGGAAAGATACAGCTTTGGGGGATCACACTACCTGGGTTTGAATTTCAGCTCCATTGTTTGCAATCTGTGGGGCTACAAGCAAGTCACTTAACCTCGCCATATCTGATGTTCCTCATGTGCAAACTAGGACTGTGACACCTCCCTTATAAGATTTGGTTGAGCTATGGAAGTGCTAGGGTTCAGTCACATGCTCAGTCGGTATTAGGGATGGTGACGAGGTGCTGACTACAAGACAGAGATGTGGCTCTGTTACCTTCTGGCAGCCAACCTGAGTCCAGTTCATTTGAAGGTGATCTGCTGCTTTTCCTAAATCACTGTTTAAAGAATTTTTTCTTAAAATTTGAAAAACGTACCTGGCTATGTCTTGGTCCATTATGTTAATTTTGTTTAAAACAACACGAGAAATCTCCAATTTGAGATCTTGTTTCTCAAATCTAGGAATTTGTCTTTAATTCCAATATATTTTTAAAAAATGTCTATAATTTTCTTAGCATGCATTTAAAATACACTTATTATGGAAAATATGGAAAATGAAGAAAAGCATAAATAAAATAAAAATCTATGAGATTTTCTGCATACTTGAGAGTATAACTGTGTAATGTTGAGTATAATAATTAATACTTGAGCATCACATATATATATTTTTTTCCTTTTTGTCTTTTTTCGTGACCGGCAACGGGATCACAACCCTCGGTGTTGCGCCCACACTGCGCTCAACCAGCGAGCAGACCGGTCTCTATATGGGATCCGAACCCTTGGTGGGAGCGCTGCTGTGCTCAAAGCGCCGCACTCTACCGAGTGTGCCACCGGGCCGGCCCAGCATCACATATTGCACAGAGGTACTGATATTTAATGCTGTACCCCGCAAATATGTATGTTTCAATAAATAAATAAATAAAAGTTTGTAGATAACATTCCTTATTCTATGAAACAAGTGAATAGGTTTATAAATTGTAAATATTCCTTTGTTTGGGGGAATTTGTCCTTTTCCCTAAAAATGACTTCGTGCAAATTACTAATTTCAAATTTGCTCCCTAGGATAATGGAACAAAAATTGCTAGATACCTACTCAACATCCACTCCCCCTTTCCTTCTTAATAACAGAATCTCAATTTTATTTTGGCTAATAATGTCCAGCTACAGTACTACATTGTGTAGGCTTTCTCACAGATGTCTTGGTTGTTTGCTATTGTTTTTGGGGGTTTCTATTATATGTAGCTAAACCTAAACCTAACTGATACAGAAAGATTCCTTGATGNTGGAAAATATGGAAAATGAAGAAAAGCATAAATAAAATAAAAATCTATGAGATTTTCTGCAGACTTGAGAGTATAACTGTGTAATGTTGAGTATAATAATTAATACTTGAGCATCACATATTGCACAGAGGTACTGATATTTAATGCTGTACCCCACAAATATGTATGTTTCAATAAATAAATAAATAAAAGTTTGTAGATAACATTCCTCATTCTATGAAACAAGTGAATAGGTTTACAAATTGTAAATATTCCTTTGTTTGGGGGAATTTGTCCTTTTCCCTAAAAATGACTTCGTGCAAATTACTAAGTTCAAATTTGCTCCCTAGGATAACGGAACAAAAATTGCTAGATACCTACTCAACATCCATTCCCCCTTTCCTTCTTAATAACAGAATCTCAATTTTATTTTGGCTAATAATGTCCAGCTACAGTACTATATTGTGTAGGCTTTCTCGCAGATGTCTTGGTTGTTTGCTATTGTTTTGGGGGGTTTCTATTATATGTAGCTAAACCTAAACCTAACTGATACAGAAAGATTCCTTGATGTAGAAGATATGAAGACTGCAATATTCGCTCTTAAATTAGAAGATATAAATATTTTAAGCTTTCTCCCTTCCTGTGGCCAGATTGCTTTCCAAGAAGCACTCTAAACTTGCACCAGAAAATGTAACTCTAACCGTCCTACAGAACTCTCATTAGCATTGAGCATTAGCGATCCAACACAAGCTTAAAAGAGAAACCTCAGTATCATTTTTATTTCATCTATTTGGTACAAGTGAGATTAAACAGTTTTTTCATCAACTATTAATTAGCCATTTGGACCTTTTTCGACTGCTGGGTTGTAGTCAGGACTCGGCTGTCTGAATGATGCCCGGGCACTAGGCTGCCCTTCAGTGGATGTTTCACATTCTAGACAGTCAGGCCTTTCAGTTTCCTTCTAGAGACCTTCTTTCTCTCCAGCTATTTTGCATATCTGCTGGTCACCTTTTCAGGCTCTTGGTGGATTGTAACCTAGTTCCATCCTTGT